TGAGGGAAGAAAAGATGGCTTTATGACTTTCCAAAGAGTATTAGTGTGAAGTGAACACAGTAGATTAGACTGGAATTTAAACTCAGTTTCCACTGAAGCTGGGTTCAAATTCTGGTCTAATTTTGAGGTAGTGTAACAGTTATAGGCATGGAAGGTGATTTCACTTTTTGGGCCAACAAGAATTACACTACCAGCACTTCCAGGCAATCTATACCAGTTCATATTTCTTTGTTGAAAATCAAGGGCCAGCCTACATACAAGATAGCATATATCAGTTCATAATGCATATAGGCTAGGTATTAATTTTTGACCAAGAAATAATTATATATAGTTTGACTTTAGGTTTGTGAGGGTAACAGAACAAGAAATTAAAGTAACTAATCACCAGGCATTTGTCTACCCCCAGATGGTGACAGGATATGACACACGGTCAGTTAAATGTGAGGTGTCCATCTGTATCGACCACGAACAAAAACTGCCGAGTCCCCACAACTAGTCATTGGTATCAACCACTCCTTTCTTTTTAGTACAGTGAGGAAGGTACTGCTGCAGGGTTGGAATCCCTGTGGCTAGGCCTCCCTTAAAAATGTTTTTCTGTGAACTGCTTGAAAACAGAAACATGGTAGAGATGTGAAGAATAGATACTACACTTGCTGCTCCCATGCTGACAGGATGTGACACAAGGTCAGCTTAATGTGGGGAGCCCAGGCGTGGTCTAAAAATTGCCCAGACCCCACAACCATCAGTTATACTGGTATCAGTACGATCCCCACTTTTTAATGCAATGAGGGAGATACTGCCATAGGCAACTGTTTCCTGAGAGATCAAATGTTGTTTGTCTGCCTGAGGACAGATACTACACTTTGATCCTAATCTGAATGCTGGGTAAAGAGAGCATTTTCAGCGATTAAACACCATTGACTTGCAAAAAACAAGTTTTTTGGGTGGGTGGGGGGTGAATTGTGCCAACATTTAAAAGCTGATGTTGCATCGTGTTTCAGTGTAAAGAAACTGGTATGAGGCTGATGTGAATTTTGATGTTATGTTTGAAAATATTGAAACTATTTTTTTTTATTATTTTCTATCAATCTAGAAATACTGTGATAAAGTTTGGCAATCACCAGTTCAGTTCAGTTCAGTCAATAATCTGGTTTAATGATTAATGGATTTGTTTTTTTTATGGCTTATCAATCTTTTACAGATTATTTAAAGTCAGAAAATATTTTTAGTTTGTAAGAATTTTTTTGGAGATAATATTGACTGACTGATACAAGCCCTACTAATTAATCCATAGCTAGGGAGAGAACAGTATTTGTGTATAAGTGAATATATAACGAACCTAACTGGAATTGGAACTTGGCTCTCTGATTTTCAATTCAGAGCTGTTATCCATTGCAAGGTGCTGACCATGTTGCTTAATTTTGGGGATCATACAAGAACCAGTGTTTCCAAGCTCTGGTTCAATAAGTATTCCAGTATTGACAAGAGCAAATTCAGATTTCCCGGGTTGCTGCACATACCTGCAGCTACTTTTAACTAGCTCTAGTTACTTTGTCAGATGTTTTTGAACACTTTCAAACACTGGCAGAGCATCTTTGCTTGTCTTTTGTGCATTTTTACTATAACCAGTTATTACTCCATTAAATACATGAATTGCTTCTCATGGTGTGAAGTGCAAACAATATACATTGTTCATAACAGATAAGGTAGAACTTCTGAAAAAAAGTTGTTAGTGGTGTGTCTATGCAAAGCTTGTGTGATTTATACAGCATTGGCTCATTTACAGATTATGTCCAAGAAACAGAGAAAAATCACTTATCCAGCACTCTCCAGATCCAAAAATGTCAAATTAGTGATGGTCAACCTGTGCCACATATATAACAAGTTAAGATGTTGAAAGAATTTTGCCATAGAGTGAAAAAAAACAAAAAAAAAACATCCCACATGTTGTATGGTAAGTTAACTATTTAAGACTGGTTAACTTGTTAGCTAATCTTAGGCCAATCATTGCTTTAAAATGCCTTCATCATTATCTATAAACTGTTTAGAATCAGTATCCAATCTGCTACCTGAGTAAGAAGACCCAGAGATTTATTATGAAATCTGACCAGCTGCTCCTGATTTAGGAGGAATCTTTATCTGCTGGAAGCACTGCACAACTTACTATATATTTTCATTGTTACTAGATGAATATTTTTCATATCTGAAACTAAAAGTTGCATGTAGCTTTTCTCATCATTAAAATGAAATCCATGTACAAAGACATCAGCCATATAGAAGTCAAGCTACATTTTGGTCTTAAAATGTTATAGTGGAGTATGCAGAGAACTTTTTTTGCTTCTCTATATAGAAAATTTATTAGTTAATTCTGAAATGATCAGACAAAACCATTCACAGGAACCTGTATAACAGGCAATTCCACACATTAAAAAAAAACAAAAACAAAGGGTTGCTGTTCAATTCTTTCTCTGCTAATCAAAGAAGCCCATACTGTATTAAAATCTACATAATTCATAAATGCTGCTGCCTTCAATTTTATCAACTTCAGTAATACAGGTTAAATGTGAGAGAGAGAGAGAGAGAGAGAGATGATTCTTCCACATACAAATAAGAGTTTCTATTAAAAACAAGCTTTACTACTGAAGTTATATTTTTATTGTCTTTTTATGAAGAATGATTAAATAAAAAAACATGCTACTCTTGAACCAAATCTATTTTAAACAATAGTTTTATATACTGTTTGAATGCAAATAATTTTATTTACTTACTCTAACAAATTAGATTTATTTGGTATTACTAGTGACTTTTTTTTAAAATTCTTTCTTTACATACAAATATACAAATTACCAATAAACTTCTCACTCTACTTATGAATGGTTTTTTCTATTTCCTAACTCTACTCACTAAAATTCAATCTGATGTCCTATCACACTGCCACATTTACATTTACTATTTTGGAGTTAGGTTATGTAGGTTTGGTTTGGTTTATTTTGTTTAACGGCATATCAACCTCAATGGGTTATTTAATACCGACAACATTTTTAGGATAGATTCGTATGAATAGAGTATGTATTCTGTGGTTTAGATTGGTTTGGTTTATTTTGTTTTACAGCATATCAACCTCAATGGGTTATTTAATGCTGACAAAAATTTTTATTGCTGGTAATATTTTGTTTTGTCAAAAATCTGTTTCTGGTAATATATTTCCTTCAAAATTGTATTGTTGGTAATAATTTTTTTCAAAAAAGTATTGCTGGTAATAGTTAACTATTTGCCCATAGCTGGGACTTTAACAGGTTCATCCACCCCAGGTCAGGGTGAATCTGGAAACACCAGCAATTAAGAGGTGGTTCCACGCTCCTGAAAACCTCCTGATCAGAGGCCTTGCTGCTGGATGTAGTTTAACGTCTTACCCAGAATGCGGATGTAGTTTAACATCTTACCCAGGACATGGGTTACGTAGGGGTACTGGCAGTTTACAGCATTTAAGCAAACAATAGATTACCCCAACTTTGCATATAAATCTCCATTATTCTGATTTAACATTAAAGCAGGATGGATGTGCAGGTGGTGTAATAGTGGTTCAGAATTAGAACTCAGAGCAAAGCTCAAATTCCAGTAGTGTTCATTTCATTCACTTATGTACAAATACCCTTCAGAAATTTATCAATCCATCTCTTCCTCCCCAGCTATGAGTTAAATAGTGGGGAAGACAGTTCTTTAGCTGTGGTTGGTAACCAGTCTAGAAGAAGAATAACAGAAATGAAACTGGTTGAGCTTGTGGCTAAGAACTCCATCCCATAAAGACCTACTGCTTGTTATAGAAACCACACCAGCAATGCCTAATATGCTGAGAGCTATGTCTCTATAGTTCTCAGAGGGTGGGTGTGTGTTTGTTAATTATAAAGTTTGGGTAAGCATAAGTAGTAATAGTTTAAAGATTTTTATAAACATTAGCCTATCAGACAGTTAAATTTAACAATTAAGACTCTTGAGATGTTTTGAACTGTATTTTAAAAAATAAATAAAAGAAAAGTAGATCTTATTTGCTATCAAATAAGGTATTTACCAGCTTTTATTGTATGATCACAACCTAGACTATTTTTATAACTTGTGAAGTCCTGGAAATCCATAGTACTTTATTGTAAACAAGAGTGTAGAGGGGGACAAGAGAAAGAAAGAAAGAAGATTACTTGGTAAAGCAATAAAAATGATAAAGGTCATCTATAATAGATTCTTTGAATTAAGGCATAGCATAAATACCCACAAAAAGAAAATTATTGCACACATTAAAGTCTCTTTCATATATATATATATATATATATATATATATATATATGAGAGAGAGAGAGAGAGAGAGGTGTGCATGTGGAAATAGGAATCAACACTGCATGGTGACTGTCAGCTTCACACTTCAATACCATTTTCAGACTAAAATATAGCAAATTTTAAACAATATAAGTCCATAGCCTAATGATAAAGAAAATATATTTACACAAATATTTATATCTAACATAATTTCCTTCCTTGTCAATGCACTTAACCTAATGCTTCTACAGTAATCACATCGCTCATATATTAAACAATGAAAATTTCAGAACAAAATTTAGCTTGTATACCATGATACAAACTTATTGATCCACTTATTGGAACACTTGCCTTGCTTTATCCTTTACTCATGTTTTTTGGAAATACAAGTGGTTGCTGCAACTTTGTTGGTCAAGTTATAGCAAATTTTTACTTTTTTTTTTTTGCACTTTGGTTGGTAAGTCCTCTTGGAGTCATTAGCATCTTAAATTCCAGTATTCTTTAGTTTAGAATTACAAGAATTTTTAAAACTTTTGTGAAAAAGATAAAAAATATGCCTCCCATTTTATTTACTCATTAATAAATAAACAGAAAGATTATCAAAAAGCTCTCACCTCCACTAGCATTTTCACATATAATCTAAATTTCATATTTCCCCTCCTCCCAAATCCCTATCCTTTGCTGAACAAGTTCTAGCGCCTTAATTCTGCAGCAATTTTCCAGGCTGCAATTCCTGCAGTTAGCCCAATCCCTACACCGACAACTTTGTTGGTCCAAGAAAACATTTTGCGGCGCCTGTGTTTACTTCGGTTCAACTCTTCCCGTCTGAATGCAGTATCGGAAAGATCTTCAGCAGTCAGAGAAGGGCAATCCAGCAGGAACATTACCTGAAATAGACAGCTTAGACATTGGATACTGGTAAAATATTTATTTTTCTTCAGGAGAATATGGATTCAATACAAAATCAAGCAAGAATCAAAATTGTTCAATAGATTCACGACAGATTTTAAAATAAGTAATGTTTTCGCATGTGAGTGCACCTGGAGACTGTTGTGAATTGCAATGACAAGAAAAAAATAATTGTGGCATTTGTAAACACTTTCAATGCCAACATTTATTTTTCTGATGTTTGTAGGCAAAGAAAAAAACAATGGAAATTCCCACATAAACTAAATAACATTGATGGAAAGCAAGTGTGCAGAGGATAAAATGAAAGTAGAAATTTCAAAAAGGGGATCTTGATGAACAACCTTTGGCATTGAATATATTAAAAAGAAAATAAAAATCTTCCGAAAAAATAGTCTTGTGTCAGACATGAGTGTGTCAATTAAAGTATGATGCTAAAATTAAAACACACTCCTTTCTGGTCTTTTGAACAGGAATAGAGGTTTATCTGTTTAGGACTGGGTTTCCAGTTCCTTCTAAATTCTACATTTGTAATGTCTCTGTTTAAACTTTGAAACTTATACTATTATTGGGGTTCCGGATCCTTCTAAAGTATTTTCCTTCTCTTTCACTTCCAGTACCCCTTTATGTCTTAGTCTTGCATTGGGTAAATTGAGATTTTTTATATATATATATATATATATATATATATATATATATATATACTAGCAGCGTTGCCTGTGCTTGATTCAAAAATCGTGACGACTCATACAGCAATCGCTATCACTTGACTTAAAATATTTTTGCCCTTCCTTGCCTTTAAAGGAGTGCCCTTTGCCATGCTAATGTTTCTACATGCCTTACTTTTTGCCTATCTCACACTACAAATTTTTTCTAAGCTCTATACTAAACATTAAATCTGTTACGAAAAAAGAACTAAACAAAATGAACACAAAACGATCAGCTTTAAAAAAGGACTTGTAACTGGAAAAACTGAATGAAAAAAGAATGTTAACAACAAATACTTTTTCACACCCAACCCAGTTCTGCGGAATCAGAATCAACATTTGAGTTTAAGCGAATGAACCAATTGGAGTAAAATGCCATGCAGATTTAAACTTTTCCACTTGTAACAAATGCAGCTATCGATTTTTTTTGCATGCTAGTTAATATTCGTGTCAGTCAGCTGTTAGCTTTCACACTGACCAATAGAATCTTCCTGCTTATTAGTGGCAGCCAGCTATAGGCTCTCACTCTGGCCAGTACAAAATGGCCACAAACTACATGAAAACTGCCGTAGAAGCATGAAAAAAAAATCGATTATTTCCACTATCGATGGGAGTTCGGAAATGCAAAGTCGGTCTTGGCATTCCTGCTAACTTGGAGCATGCGCATGTAAATTTTGGTGCAAATCCATCGAAAATTACGGACATGCATTCGTTACACACACATCCTTATATATATATATATATATATATATATATATATATATATATATATATACAAAGAATAATCACACATAGAATTAATCAGAAGTATCAATGCGATTATTGGCGACATCCATCGCTAGAAAACATAATATATGCATTAAAATCCTGTTCATCCATAAGCGAAGTTTTGATCCTTGAAGAAAAACTTGTTGTCTGTAGTTTTTCAGTTTATTTGATGTTAAAATGCTAGTACTTTTTTTTTTTTTTTTTTTTTTTTTTTAAGCATTTCACCCCAAGCAAGGCGGGGAGCCACTAGGATATTAAGGGGGTTACAGAAAATAGGAAGATCAGATAGGAGTGATAGAAGAAAGGATGAGGGTAGTAGATAGATTAAGGCAACTGGAGATGTCGATTGACATTACACTTGAATAGCTGGAGATTATAACTCTCAGGGAAACAGGAGAAGGGAAGAGAGTTCCACAGGCGAGAGGTGCGAGACATGAAGCTATTAGAGTAGAAGAGACGGGCTACATTTATGAGTTTCGACAGTGAAGGGGTGAGGCGGGATGCCAGCCTGTGGGGCTTTGAACTCATGAAGTTTGGGAACCAGCGAATGCAGTTCCTCGGAGCAATTTCCATGAAAGAATTTGTAGAACAGACAGAGGGAGAAGACTCTCTAACCCACATGCACGGTCTTGGTGTCTACGTCAAGGAACATCTCCCCCTGGCCAGAGAGTCCTCTCTTGAATCGCCTGACCAGTCATACATGTGTCTCCGTCTCTCTCTCCTCAATGCGGTAAGCTATCTCTTCTTCCTTTACCGCTCTCCATCCTAAAAGTAAAAAACTAGAAGAATGGAAAATTAAATGTCTTTGACT